CCTCAAGTTCAGAAGCCAGATTGGGTTTAAAGCCCAGCCCCACACTGTAACAGGCAGGTGATCTTGATCAAAGTATTTAACTCCTCTGAGTATGTTTCCTTGTCTGTCAAATGAGGATGACCACAACTAACTCACCAGACTGATGTGAGGATTAAACGGGTTAATACATGGGGAGCATTAGCTTAGTGCCAGGCATACGGTAAGTGTTCAAAAAATTTCAGCCATCACAACCCCAACAAGCCAGACATCTGCTTGGAGTAGGACATGTACCACCTAACCCCCTGCACACACAGACATACCCCAAAGACAGGAATAGAGGTGTGGCCCCGGCACAGACAGGGGAAGCTATGGGCCTATGGAGTCCAAGTGTTCTGGCTCATCTCCTCCCTTCCCCCGCCCCCCCACTCAAGGAAGCTTGTCAGAAGGGAGACAGTGGATCTCTGTTGTCTTCATCAGACCATCAACCATTCCCTTCCTCCTGGGAATTAGGACTGGGTTTTCCTCCCAGAAACGGTCTTTTCCCCCCGACCTCAAGACAGTGGGGTTCAGGCGGGACTGATACCCTAGGCCCCTGCCCCTCCCCCGCCGGCCTCAGATCAGGGATTCTGGCTTGTGTGATCCAATCGAGGCCTGCGAGAGCAGCTCTGAGACGACTTCTGTAATCGTTTCAGAGGGACTCTCTCTCTCCCTTTGGGGGCAGCCTAATTATTAGGATGAAATCCTGGAGCTTCTGAGACCATCTTGCTGTGAGGTGGGAGGTGCCTGTCTGGGACCAAAACCAACGAAGCCCAAAGCTGAGGAAAGCCACACGGGCATCTCCTGCAATCCAAATCTATTTGATACCTAAATCATGTACACTGAGCACAGAAAATAAGCTCAGACAGCCACAGACCATGTTATCTCAAACTATTTGGTTCCTGAGTTTTGGACATCAAAAGGCAAGAGTTCAGAAAGGGAGATTCATCTAAAAATTTTATTCCAATTTATTTAGATCTTGATTGAAGATAGTGAGGACTTGGGTAGAGTTTCAATAACAAGGGATACCTTTACTATTGAGGATATTCCATGAGCACCTGGATCCAGCTATACCTGAAGTTAAACGGCTTTTAACCTTTCCAGTTACAGGTCTCAACAAATCCCTTTTCTGGCTGAAATCAGTTTATTCAGGGTTCTGGCAGCTACAAATATGAGAAACACACACACACACACATACACCTTCCACCCTTATTCTCTCAAAGCAGATTCTAATTCTGAAGAAATGCCTACCTCTTCCCAAGGTTCTTCTGCTACTCTGCTCTCTTTCCCCTTCTTCTTTTTACTCCTCTTCAGAGCTGGCTCCTCAATGCCTGGCTGCTCTACCTTTTTCTTGGACTTCATTTTCTTCTTTGCAGGGGACTTGGGGTTATGTCCTACTGGGATGTATTCTGGAGCCTCAACTTTGACTGGCTTCTTACTTCCTTTTCGAGGGTTGCTCTCCACGGACTTGGAGCACTCAAGATGCTCTTCTAGGGAGGTATCTCCCTTCTGGTAGATTTTCTTTTTCTTCTTCATCTTCACATTGCATTCCCTGGGGCCCCCCTGCTTCCGTTTCTGCCCTGAAGCTGCCTGCTCCTTGCCATCCTTCTCCACTGAGCAAGTGTACAGAGTATCCCCAGACTCACAGAACCAAGGGTCCTTGGCTAAGAAGGCTGCAGCCTCCTGGGCCTTTTTCTCCTTCTTGTGTTTTTTGGGCTTCTTGCCAACTCTGGTCACCTCCTCGCCCTGTCTTGTGTCTGGGGAGGTCTTCACTTTTGAGCCAGAAGGCATGGCCAGAGGCCTTAAGGACTTCCTCTTTTTTTTCTTCTCCCCACTTTGGAACTCAGATGAACCAAGAGCCTGCTTCCTGGGGCTGTACAACTTCTCTGTCCGTCCAGCACGTAATACGGTCTCAGGTTCTAGGTGCTCCTCGCAGAGGGTGCTGTGGCCCTTCTTTTTCTTCTTTTTCTTCACTAGAGGCATCTCAGATGCCTGCCCTAAGACCACATTCTTTGAGGGGGATGTGGCTCTTGTGGGACAACTATCAGTGAAATAATTATCACTGTTTAAAACTGAGTACTGAGTCTCTGGTTCTTTGACTACCTTCTTCTTCTTCTTCTTTTTCTCTGGGACCCCAAGGCCCAGGTCTCCTTTGTGGGTTTTGGTGATCATCCCTGAAAAGAGAAACTGATACAAGTTATCTCCATACCAAACCACTCCATGTACAATTCGGCTAGTTAGTGCCAAGAGCCACATTTCTGAGTGGCTAGTCTGAAATGTTAGGGGATGGGAAAAGGCGCGTGACTCCTTTGGAACAAAGGAAAATGTGATTAAAGAAGTAGAATGGAATTTAAATTCAGACAACGCCAGGTTCAAATTCAAACTGCTCCCTAACTTAAGCCCTAGTCACCTAGCCTCCCTGAACATTAATTTCCCCATCTGGAAAATGGGGGGAAATAACAATTCCTTCTCAAAGGGCTATTGGAAAGAATACACAGTAATCCACGGAAAGTGATTCTTTCCCACCCCCTTCCTTAAATCTCTGAGCCTAGTGACCCATTCAACACATTTACCCACTGCCTACCCTGTGCCAGCCACTGAGGATTCAACTGCAATCAAATCAGACAGACCAGGTGCTGTCCTCAGGGGCTTACTTTTACTGAATGAAGGGGAAAGAAATCCTTAGGTCAACTCTTCCTGCCGATACCCACCAGATGCAATAACTATGGCACAACTGACCCCTTACCTTGGTTCATCTAAGTAGCTCTTTTCCTTTCTGTGTGGAAATTAATTCCCTCCACCTGCAACCTGGATGACTTACCCTCCTACCTACCTTCCCACGTGGCTAGTAATAAGAATGGCAACAAGATACGATGAAAGGAGCCCCAGCTAGGACTGACAAGACCTAGGTTCAAATGGTGACTGACGCCCTCTTGCTGCATAGTGTTGGTTTCTCTGGGCCTCAGTTTCCTGATCCATAAAGAGGGACTGAACCAGATCAAATGCTGCCAGGGAGAGGGGGAGGTGTTGGGGGCCATAACCCTGCTTGCTTCACTGTTTCCAAATTTTCAAATTAATTACCAACATATAACAATTGAAGATGACACAGAGCAACCTAGAATGCCCAGCTTTTGGCATGTAGGCAAGTGTGGGAAGGGGCTGGTGCCATCAAGTACATTTTAGCTTCCAGCTGGGCCACTTCTCTCCAGTCACCACCCGAGCTGCTGCTGCTCCCTGCACTAGGTGACATGGAGACACCCAGGGAATCCAGAAACAAAATAACCCCCTGGCAGGAAGTTTGAACAGCGGGAGGGAAAGGTCAGGAGCTTCTCCATCCTGAAGCTCACTTCAGCCTCGGAGCCCTGGGGAACCACAATGGACCTGGCTCACCATTAGCAGCTTCAAAGAGCCAGGCCAGGACTAAGCCATGGCTCAAGTTCATTTATAACTCATGCCAGGAGCACCTGGAAAGTCAAGGGTACACCCTCTCAATTCACTCTTGTCCTGTTTTCTGCTCTATTCCCAAAGCCTAGCTCTGTACCTGACACACAGCGGGTGTTCGATAAATACTCAATGAATGAATGAAAGCCAGAGATAGAGAGATGAACAAGATAAAACACCTGCTATCAAGGAGCAGGTGTAGGAGGAAAAGAGGTGTGATAATGAAAATATAGTGAATAAAAGCAAGGCTAGTGGTGACGTCAGAGCAATGAAGTTCATCTAATCTGGCCTACCAGTTGTCTGGAAAGTTTCTAGAACAGAGGTTTCCAGCTTAGGCAACTGCAGGATGGTGGTGTTAATCCCTGAAAAAAAGGAACTTAAGGCAGGTAATTAAGGGCTGCAGGAGACAGGCTGGTTTACATAGATGCCTTGAGCTATCCAAGTGGACAGGAGGATATTCGGTGGACAGGTAGATACGTGAGTCTGAGGCTCGCGGGTGACTGGGCTGACATGGGTAAAACAAAACAAAACAAAACACACCTGTAAATATATGGATAGTAACTAAGTCTCAAAGAGAATGAGCCTAAGACAAGATCTCAGGGAAACCGGAGAACAGAGGAAGAGGGGCCTACAAAGGAAGGCGAGAAGGTGCAAACCTGGAGAGGGTGCAGTCGAGAGAGCCAAGAGTGCCTCAGGTGGCGGGAGTAGTCAAGCGACCTGATTAGAACAAAGAAGTTAAAGGGAGACTGTAGTCAATTTAATCCCCTTTCGGCCGTTCGTAATCACTGTAGCTTCCTCCCTCTTTAGCACTGAAGATCCTCTTCTTCAACCCTGCGGCCCCAGATATAGTCGCTCCAAGAAGAGAAAAGAATCTCACAGTGCGTCTCCAGCAAAAGCAAACACTTTCTCCAAAAGCTCTTTTAAAATCTCGCGGTAGTCTCGTGAAGAGCGGTGGGAAGACCCCATCTCAGACTCGCTGAGGCTTCGAGACTTGAATTTACTTGTCCTGGGTCCTAAAGCCAGCAAGTGGCAAAAAGGACTCGAACCCGGCCCGCAGGACGTCGGAGCCCGCGCTCTGCACAATGGAACTAACACCTCACTGCCGCCGCAGGTTCACGAGCAGGAAGGGACCCAGGAGGCGAGAACGGTCCCTGAAAGGCTCCGCCGCGCCAAAGCTTCCGCACAAACACAGGGAGGGATTACACGGAATCCCGGCCCCGCTCCAAGGCGGGAGAACTTCCAGGCCTGAGCGAGCGCATACATGCGATTGGGGTAAGGGGAATGTGTGGACTTGGGGTACAGGCCACCCACTTTCCCCTCAGTTTGCCGCGCAAGTCCCCAGGCGCAATCTCCAGACCCCGCAGCGCCCAGCCAGTGCCGCTCCTCAGCACTCACCCGTAGGCCAATCTTCCCCGCCTCCACGTGAAAGCCAGCTCTACCGCGACCCGGAAGTTAATCTCGAGTCGCTGGCCCGCCTCCTTGAATTCCGGCTCTTTCCGGGTCATAGCCTCGCGGGGAGGGCGGTTGCTGTGGAAACCGCGGCCATGGCGGCACCGGGTCCGGAAAGTAGTCGCACCGCCCAGCGCGAGGAGCCGGCCCGCTCCGCAGAGTCCTCGGACACTGTCCGGACGCCAGTGCCCATCGTGTCCACCGTGTCCCCCGAGTTACCCGTCTCGCCAGGACAGGGCGTGGAGCCTCCGGGCAAGAACCTGTGGGAGCAGATCTGCGAGGGTAGGCAGCCCGGGCCGTCAGAGAGGGGCGGGACTCGCCAGGCGGGGGGCCGCGTTTACTGGGCGCCTGCTGTGCTCCAGGCGCCTGACGTGCGTGGCCTCCTTGGTAGCCGCGCCGCAGGCCCGCGGGGATCTCCATTTCACGGACGGGGAAACTGAGGCTCGGAGACTTTTGTCCGAGATTACGCAGCGGGGTCTCCCACCTTGATCCGTAGTCAGGTTAAAGCCAGGGGACCCAGGAGAAAGCGGAACAAAGGGGGACAGCGGCTCTCAAACCTCACTTAATGAATAGTAAAGGATCGCGGGAGCAGAGATGGGGAGCTTGGTTCCTGCGCACAGATCCCATAATCAGGTGCAGGGAATCTGCACTCTTAACGTGCATCCTAGGTAATTCCGATGTAGTTAAGTCTGTAGCCCACATGTTGAGTAAACAGGGTCTATACAGATTTGGGTTTTAATCCTTCTCCACTTCTAATCTTCCTTAAAATCCCCAAATGGAGTTTAGCTCAACTTATTTCGTGGCCCTACGCATACTCTTGGTCATGAGGCCTTACAGTACTCTTCACATATATTGGGCAAGTTATTGACCTTTCTGTAAAGTGAGCATAATGACATCTATTTTATGGTGTTAGGAGCATTGCAGCTAAATAGTCACAGAAATGCTTAGCAAACTGCCCGATTTCCAGCAAGAGTTCAATAAGTGTTAGCTCGGAAAAAATAATATTGGGTGGGTTTTTTTCTCCCCTAGGTTATAAGTTCCTCAAAGTCAAGAACTCAAGATGTTTCATTCTTGTGGTTACTGTCACTATGTCAGCTTTCTGAAACAGCATTTCCCAGAACTTTCAAGTATGGTAGCCCTATTGATTGATGATGTTGTACACCTGAAACTAATTAAATGTCAGAACTCAAATATATGTGGTAGCTACTAGACACATACAGTTTTGAGCACTTAAAATGTGGTTAGTGCATTTGGGACTCAAATTTTTTATGTTATTTAAGTTTACCAAATTAAATAGCCACTTGTGACTAGTGGCTACCATATTGGACAACCCAGTAAATGTTTGTTGAATGGGAAAAAAGAGTGAATGCAATATATGAAAGAAGTGGAAAATACAGAGGAGGAAGAGAATAGTGGACTCAAGAGTTCATAGATAACCCTCGGCGGCCGTCTGTTTCACCTCCCATCCAGTGCTTGAATTCCTTTTCCAGCATCACATTATATTTAAAAAAATGTATTCATCTTGAACATTCTCCTTGTAATTTCTACCCTTTGTTCCTTACCCCCTTGGTGCCATGACCCAATTTATCACAGCAAATAGACCTGTGAGAATTCTACCATAAAGAATCCACTCATATTTGAAGGTAGTTGTGGATGTCTTTTCCCCCAAAAAAGTGAAAGACGTTTTGACTTCTCCAAGCCAAACAGCTCTTTGTAGTAGAGTTTATTATGGTGTGTTGTTTAAGGGAAACTGCTTACCTACCTCACAGGGCTGATGTGAGGACCAGGTAAAATAATATATGTGAAGGTGATTAGCATACTGTCAGGCATTCAGAAAGAGCTCAATAAATGTTCATTGTTGTTAACAACAAAACATGGTTTGCATTGTGTTTTAAAGTCATGAGATTATTTTGGTCAAATAGCCATGAAGGGAGAAAGGAAAGACAAAGAAGTGTGGTGCTCTCTAAAAAGCAAGTGAATTGATGCTACTCACAAAGTGACAGAGTTACATCACGAAGTGAATGAGGTCAAAGATGGTGAATTATATACTCAGGTGCTGACTCGGGTCATGATTATTATAACCCAGATGAATTTCTTAACCATTCTAACATGCAGTTTTCTATAACAAACATATAGTGAGTAAAAATTTAGTGCCTCACGACAAACATGAAAAACAGGCTTTGGGGTAATCCTATGTTTGAGGTTAAGTGTTACATTCTTTTAGTATATTTCCATTTAAAAAGCAACTTATCACAGCAGATAGACCTGTGGGAAACTCAATTTAGGAAGAAGAAATACAGAATAGGTAGATATCTGACTTAAGACTGTCCTACCTGGGACGCCTGGGTGGCTCAGTCGTTGAGCGTCTGCCTTCGGCTCAGGTCATGATCCCAGGTTCCTGGGATCGGGTCCCACATCGGGCTCCCTGCTCTGCGGGAAGCCTGCTTCTCCCTCTCCCACTCCCCCTGCTTGTGTTCCTGCTCTCGCTATCTCTGTCTCTGTCAAATAAATAAAATAAAATCTTAAAAAAAAAAAAAAAAGACTGTCCTACCTGGCTGATGCTGTGTGTGTGTGTGTGTGTGTGTGAATGACTTGATGACTTACTTGTAATTGTCCTTTAATTTTCTCTCTCAACTTTCCAGTGATGGCTACCTCTGAGCTTTGTATCCTCAAAGGTACTTGTATCAGTATCAATAAAGGTCTTTCCTGCCAAGGCTTCTAATTAAATTTTATTGCTTTTGACATGATTTTTAATTATGGTTTTAACCAAGCCTGAGTCAAAGTACTGGGAGCTTACAGTCTTCTATTTTGATCTTGCTGTTATTACTCTCATCAACATCCTCATTATTGCCATTGGTTCATGACTGACTCCAAACACTCTCCAACCTCAACCCTTAGAGCTGTTGTAAAATCAGGTTCCTCCATCCCACCTGCCAGGTACCAACAGGAACCAGCTCTGAATCAGTGCTTGTAACCCTAGCCCAGCAGTTGAGTACACCTAGAGAAAAATGGCCCCGGGGGCTCTCACAGTGCCTATCCGTCAACATCCCTCAGTGCCTTCTTCCATTGCCCCCATCTGCTAGCCCCAGGTTTCTACACACCCCCTCAAATGTTGGGTGATACCACTTAGTAAATGTAGGGGACATTCATTGAGAAGTGGGGAGGGGATCCTTCAACTTCCTTATACCAATAAACATATTTGCATCTGCACACATACCTTGCTACCAACAGCTCAGCCTACATCTGTGCTTTGGTACCACCCTCTTGCCATCCCAGGATCCTGCTCTGTCACCCCCTCTCCTACATCTCACTTCTTTACTGACTTTTCCTTCCAAACATCCTTTGGTCTGACATCTTGAGAAAAACCTCTCCCTTAGCACGTATTATCTTCTAGCTCTTGTCTCTCCCTTTTCTTCTCTCAGCCAAGCTTCTGGAAAGAACACACTGCCCTTGTTCACACCACTGTCATTCCTTTTCTCTTATCAACCCAGTGCAGACTAGCTCCTACTTACCTCATTGTTTCAGTGAAATTATTCTCATCTCTTCTGTCAACATATCTACCCATGCTGGGAACTGTTATAAGTGCTGGGCTAGGAATGACTCCAGGCACTATTCTAGACACCCAACAACTTTCCATCTCGATGAGTGTCCCCATCATTCACTCAGCTACCCAGTCCAGAAATCAGAGATTCGTCCTAACATGTTTCCCGTTCACTTTTCATGATCCCCACATACATTCTCCAATCCCTACAGATTGTACCTGCTTAACATTTATAAGCCCCAACTCCTCAGCCCCTAGTTGTCATGGCTCCTGCTTTAGGTCAAGCCCTTACCACATCCTGTTTGGATTGTGCTGTAGCTTTTTAAATGCAGAAGGCCCCTGTCAGACCCTCTTCCACAGGACCCTCTCTAAAATTCAAATCTGATCACATCGTGCCTTGACCTACAATGATTTTCATAGCTTTCATGCTAAACGAACTCTTTAGCTTAAGACCTAAGCCCTTTAATGATCTGGTTCCTGTCTTTTTTTTTTTTTAGGTTCAGCACCTACCATTTGCTCAAATCATACTAATAGCAACGTCTATTGAGCTGCTCTATGTGCCAGACACTGTGCTAGATGTTTTTCCTCTCATTTAAACCTCATAGCAACGCAGTGAGGGTTTTCCCTGTTGTACAGGCAAAATGGAGGAAATTGAGGCACAGAGAGTTAAACTTTCCCGAAGTAAGTGACAGAACCAGGCTTGAACTCAGATGTGTGTGTCACTCAAATCCAAGTCCTTACACAACATACAGCACGCTTCAAAGTGTAGCCCTGGGGCACCTGCGTCAAAATCTGGATTGCTTGTTAAAATGCAGATTCCTGTGCTCTGTCCTGGACCTGATGAGTTGGACCTCTTGGGAGTGAGTCCTTAAGCTCTGCGTTTTAAATAAGCTCTCCAGGTGAGGTACAAAGCACAGTGCTACTGTCCTGTACTGTGTCCCTTTAGCCACAGGAACTAATTCCTCCAATGAGCCATACTGTTCTCCTCCTTGCCTTGCCCAAGCTTTGCTTCTTACCGGAACGTCTCTGCCTTCTCATCTTTATCTTTCAAGACTTAGCCTAAGTGGCCCCCCCTTCTAGAAAGGCTTCTCTCGTTCCCCACACTGATTTGAAGCCCTATCTCCTCACTGCACTGAGAGAGCACTGGGCATAGCCCCCTCCAGCAGCATGTCCACATCTCAGAGGCACCGGATTACTGTTCATCCCCTCACCAGAACATAAGCTCCTCTGCACTAGGCATCTATCCATCCAGCACCTAGTACAACCCCTCGCTGTAGTGTATGCTGGCTAGGTGTTCATTAGATTCACTCCCACCTCTTCCACCTTCCTGATCCATCCCTTTCCAATAGGCCCCTGTTGGTAAACATTGTATTTTTTTTAAGTATTTTTATTTATTTTTGAGAGAGAGAAAAAGAACAAGCGGGGGGGAGGGGCAGAGAGAGAAGCAGGCTCCCTGATGAGCAGGGAACCCCATGAGGGACTCGATCCCAGGATGCTAGGATCATGACCAGAGCCGAAGGCAGACATTTAACCCACTGAGCCACCCAGGCGCCCTAAACATCGTATTTTAATTGCTGTTTCAGTTAGGAACATGTTCAGCAGCAAATCAGAGACAGTCTAATAGTGGCCTGAGCAAAAAGGACATTTCATTATCTCATATCCTTAGGCACATAGAGGGGACAGGTTCCAATTTTGGCAGAAAGGCTCCACTCTGCCAATGGGGTTGTAAGCTCTTTCTGCTCTGCCTCTTGCAGAATATTGCCTTTGTTGTATAAAATGAGTAACCACTTTCACTTGTTCTTAGTATTCACTGAATGTGCATATAACATTAAATTCCCCTAATCGATTAACCCAATTTACAAGCTTCGGTAACTAAAAAATTGTAAACATTTATAAATTTAGTATACCTGGTTTTCTTAAGCATTTCTAATGCTAAACAGACAAGCAAATTTCCTAAGCACTGAAGCAGCTCTTAGAAATTGAATTAATCAGGGGCGCCTGAGTGGCTCAGTTGTTAAAGCTTCTGGGCGGCTCAGTCGTTGGGCGTCTGCCTTCAGCTCAGGTCATGATCCCAGGGTCCTGGGATAGAGCCCCGCATCACATCACATCGGGCTCCCTGCTCAGCGGGAAGCCTGCTTCTCCCTCTCCCACTCCCCCTGCTTGTGTTCCCTCTCTCGCTGTCTCTCTATCAAATAAATAAATAAAAAATCTTAAAAAAAAATTGAGTGAGTCAAACTATGGTAAATCAAGTTATTTTAGTGAGTTCAATACTCTACAAACTTAATCAAATTCATACAAGCTCATATGGTTTTCAATGTAAAAAGCATCAGTCTGTAATCAATTACATATTTTAAATTGAAATCACAAGGCAAAAGCGACAAGTTCTCAAATATGCCAGATTCTCAAACATTATAGAGGCTTGAAATCACAAACACATCATATTGTCCTGAAGATAATATTATCTTCCTGTACTTCTACATAATCATTTCAACTGTATATCTTTTGTGATCATATGATGAAAAAGTTTGTATCTTTTCCATCATATTTAAGTGGACTCCTAAGAGATCTACTTGGAAGAAATCTAAATAGAAAAAATATAAATAACAAAGAAATGCAAATAAAAGCAACATATCATTTTAAATATAGATAAGATTGGTAATACCCTGGAGAAACAGACAGTCATAGGAGTATAAATTGTTTTAAACTTTTTGAAGGAACTTTTGGCAATTTGGCTGAAATTTTAAACTATTTTTTCCTTTAACAGAACAATTCCACATCTAAGAATTAATCCTATAAAAATACCTCCTTTCCAATTGATGATGTGTATATAGTGATGCTCCTAGCAGCATTGTTTGTAATAATGAAAAATTGGAAACAACCTAGACACCAAGTACACTGGTTAAATAATTGTGGCATATCATATATGTAGCAACCTTGAAAGATGTCCAAGACTCAACACCTAAAATGGTTCTTGGCACATAGTACGCTCTCACTAAGTATGAACAAATGAATAGATAAAGGATCAAAAGTAACTTGTTAAACTATTCTTCATTTTATTCATCCATTCAGCAAGTATTCTTTGGGAATATGATGGTGAGCATAAACGGACCCAGACAATTTCCCTCGCAAAACGCAGTCATTAATTTTTACAAATTTCAAATAAGGATAAAACTGATAAGAATTATGAAGAAAAAGGACTGTGCTATGAGGTTCTATAGTTAGATGATTTGACGTGGTCTAGGAGATCTAAAGTAAATAAATGTATTTGTATTATATACATATGTTAGTAAATACGTGGAAAATACAGTGGTTATGGGTTATAATGGGATTGGATGTGACTTACACTCTTTACATAAGACAAATCTGTATTTTTTGGAATTTCCTCATAATAGCATGTGTTGCTTTTGTAATCAGACAAAGCTCTAAATGTATATATCCTAAATCTGAATAAACAGTTTTCACACCCTGTTGGTGTTTCTCAAAGTGTTTGGGGAAGAAGAGTGAATTTACATGCTTGCTTGAGAGGAAAGCAAAGTGGTAGAGCTCAAGCTGTTACAGTGGGCGGAATTCTAAGATGGCTCCAAGGATTCCCACTCCCTACTGCACACACCTCCTAGTTATTCAATCAAACACAAATCTAGCATTGCCTTCAAGGGATTTTCCAGATGTAATTGAAGTTTGACACCAGTTGACTTTTGACTTAGGAAGATCACTGTAGGTGGCCCTGACCTAATCAGGTGAGCCCTTAAGTCAAAGTCATTAAAGCAGAAGAGACTCCTGTTCGCCTTGAAGTAGCAAATAACAATGTGTGAACTGTCCATGACAGGACCTGAGGGTGGCCTCTAGGAGCTGAGAATCCCACCAACAAAAAGAAAATGGGGATTTCAGACCTACAGCCACAAGAAACTGAATCCTGCCAACAACCAATGATCTTAGAAGAGGACCCAACCCTCAGATGAGATCACAGCCATGAATGGCCAACACCTTGATTCGAGCCTGATCCCAAACCTGGACTCCTGACCTACAGGAACTGTGAAATAATAAATTTGTGTTGTTTTATGTTGCTAAGTTTGTGGTAATTTGTTACATAGCATTAAAAACTAATATAGCTGGTCCTGGGAATCAAGATTGCTTGCAACCTACAGCCTGACATACTGGTCCCCAGCCTGATAAGTAGGAGTTAAAAAAAAAAAAGCCAAGAGATGTTTCACTGACAAGGAACCAGGTAGTAGAACAAAACATAGGTCCAATACAATTTTATTCATTCCATCCATACTATCTTGCCCAAAAACCGTTTTTCCTCATTGCTGCAAAGTGACTATGCATTTGCCTTTAAAACATTGGCTTTTCCAGAAATATTTTTACCACTCTCTTTTAGGGATGTAACTGAGATAGCCCTTGAGCATTTCTGTCCCTCTCTGAGCAATAGTTCTTGTTACCCTGCAGAACTTGTATGGACTGTTCTTTGCATTATGCTCTCCAACAGGTTGACTGTGAACAGCCTTGAAACCCGGCAATCATTCTCCACCTCACTGCACATTAGAATCAGCTGGAAAGCTTTAAAAATACTGATTCCCAGGCCTCCACCCTAGACCCACTGAATCAGAATTTCTGGAGTTGGGCCAGACTTTGGTGTTTTCAAAAAGCTCCACAGTGATTTTTTTTTTTTTAAAGATTTTATTTATTTATTTGACAGAGAGAGACACAGCCAGAGAGGGAACACAAGCAGGGGGAGTGGCAGAGGGAGAAGCAGGCTTCCTGCCGAGCAGGGAGCCCGATGCGGGGCTTGATCCCAGGACCCCGGGATCATGACCTGAGCCGAAGGCAGACGCTTAACGACTGAGCCACCCAGGCGCCCCCACAGTGATTTTTGTGTGCAGCCAGGGTAGCAAGCTACTGGAGTTGACAGCAGAACTACTCCCACTTGTGCATACAAGTCACCTGGGATCTCGTTAAAAGGCAGGTTCAAATTCAGCAGGTTTGGGTGGGTTTGAGGTTTTGCATTTCTAACTCCCCAGAGATGCCAGTGCTGCTGGTTCTTGGGCATACTTTGAGTAGCAAGGTCTTTATGGGGTTGCTCTTCCAGATGCAAACCCCAATCAGGCCATCCTACCTTCATGCTCATCCTCATGACTTCAAGAGACAGCTCATCTCTCTGTCACTTTTATTCTGCCCTCCCATCATGTGCTGCTCTTCTTTCTTTTCTCTCCTCCTCTCTGTGTAGCTACTGGTGTCTCCCCTTAGTTATAACTTGGGGGCAAAATCTAAAGTTGTACCTTCTCAGCCAAAGAGTCTCAAACTCTTACATAAAGCCTTGAGTCTGTCATACAAGAGAACAATCATCTCTTATCCATTTTAAGTAAGGTGGTTCACAGGAATTATTAACCTATAGTAGCCGGTTGTTTTTATTTCTATAAACCATCAACCAAAATAAAATTTAAGAATGTTTTATTCAGAGGAAAGGAAATTGCATCACAAACTGCAATGAAGTGTGGAATTGAGGATTTTTTTTCCTGCTCCCTTTAGAGTATGAAGCTGAGCTGCCTCCCTTTCCAGAGGGATATAAAGTCAAACAAGAAGCTATGATTACTGTGAGTATTGCCCAGGCCCCAACCTAAATGAAAGGCTCTTATGTGAGAATGGCGATGTCATGAGTTTGGGAGGTGGGAAAGGGAAGGCACTGGAATTAGAACCAGAAATTGGGGCCAGCCCTAGCTCTACTACTAATGGTGCGACTTAAAGGGCATCATATAACCTCTCTGAGCCTCAGTTTCCACCTCTGTTAAATGGAGCAGATAATCCTTGACTAACTCACAGGACCTCTGTGGGGCTCAAATGAGATCCTGGATGAGAAAGGTCTTTACAAAGGATTCAACACATGTCCATGTTGGGGACAGTTGGGGATAGAGCATGTTTCTCTCTGCACGCCAGTGTGGGTAGGATAAAAAAGACTGTACTAAGAGGGCCAAGGACAAGGCAGCCAGGAAGGGGGGCCCTCAGGCAGTATGCCTGGAGTAAAATAGGGGCTTAATGGAGTTTCAAATAAAAGAGCAGGGCTCTGAGAGAGTCAGGTTATTGAGGAGGGCCACAGGGATAGGACCCAAACCTAAGTCTCTAGACTTGGCAGTAGCTTATTGCAACTGCCACTAGTAGAGATTCTGTGTCTAAGAAATTTCTTGGCCTGTGATTGTTCTTTTTGTTAATAGCGTCCTGTTCTTGCTCTGTGGATTTAATGCTTTCTCCAATTTCTCCGCAGATACCAGTTACAGTTCCCTTCCCTGAATTGTTGGTGCTTCCTCCAGTCAGTTGTTCTTTGTAGATCCTGACCTCTGTCTTTTATGCTGTCGATGTTCTTTGTCTGTGTAGAGAATTTTGTTATTTATTCAAAATTTAAAATGGGCATCTGAGTGGATTTTTCTATGTAGCTGGTATGATTTTCTTCTATTGTACATGGGGGTTTGTCTTCTGGACGAGTCTCTTCTATGAGTAGAAACATTGACTAGGAGCTTGTGGGGAGTGCTTTTCTACTGGAAGACTTACTTCAGGGTTGCAGGCAGAGAGCCTCCAAATCAATGGTGAGCTTTTTTTTTTTCCTTTTGGCTACCAGCTTGGCCAATCCTTGGAGTCACTGGAAGTCACTGGAATCACTGGGAAGGAGGGAGACCTGGATATAAAAGGCTGGTGGGAATGGAGCTTTATGTATATTGAAAGGGGCGGAAGCAGGAGAAGGGGGAATGTAGACAGCAGGGCAGTGGAGCCCCAGCCAGACTTCCACTTAACCCCGCCTGTTTCTCATTCCCTTTCTCATTCCCATCCTCTGAGGACTTGAACCCCTAAGAATCGAAGCCTTTTGGAGTTTTGATGGGAATAGGGACTCCCATCCCCTGGGGCAGTTTCTTCCTGTGGATCCTGGGCTGCCATTACCTTTCTTATTTGACCATATGCTTCATTCCCGTTTCTTTTGGAAATGTCAAATCTTTCATCCACTAATGGTCCTCCTGTTCTTTTCTCTATTAGGGCTTTATTCCTTGATTGTCATTTATAGGTGTCTCAGAAAGGAAGAGGGACAAAGATTTGTACTCGTTATGCCCCTTGAACCTGAAGTTAATACAGAATTTTATCCTTTGTTAGGTTATACAGGAAAATACAGTTATTTAAGCTATTTATATGAATTGATTTCCTCCCCAACCCCCCCCATCAGGTTTCACCATTAGAGGAAATGGTTCTCCATGGCTTCAATACAGAATACCTTTATTCAGTTCCTCATTTGATCATGGACTTGCATTTACCCTGTCCTCAAGTTAAGTTGGAAACAGTCGATCCAAAAACATGTAAGTAAGGAAGTGAGATTTTGTCTTTTATAATTTGGGGCTTGTAACATTGCAAAGCCAGAGGACGGGGACAGGGTGGACAGACCTCAGGGAGACCACAAAAATACGAAAGAATATGTTCTTATTTTAATTTTAATTTTTTATTTTATATTTTTGAAGATTTTATTTATTTGACAGAGAGAGAGAGGGAGAGCAGGAACACAAGCAGGGGGAGTGGGAGAGGGAGAAGCAGGCTTCCCGCCGAGCAAAGAGCCGGATGCGGGGCTTGATCCCAGGACCCTGGAATCATGACCTGAGCCGAAGGCAGACACTTAATGACTGAGCCACCCAGGCGCCCCTATTTTTTATTTTTTAAATATGTATCAGAATTTTATTTTTTTAAACTTTTTTAAGTAGCCTCCATGCCCAACATGGGGCTTAAACTAACAACCCTGAGTCAGCCAGGCACCTCTTAATTTTTGTTTTTAAGAGAAGTACTTTTATCCCACTGGTTTCTCTTTAAGGTTGAAATATAATAAAAATAATAAATAACAGCAAGCATACCTTGATTCTACATTAAAATCAAAGGGGAGAATGTAAAAAATAGATGAAAGTATCACGCTGCCCTGCATTGTGGGTTGAAATCAGAGGTATAGACTTTCTCCATCTTCTCCCTGGGCCCAGTTCCTCTGACCTTCCCTGATGCCAGACCTCTCCTACCCCTTTGTTCTGTTCTCTCTGCTAGTGTGCTTTGGGCCTTGGCACCCACCACCACCATTACTGTGGTACAATCCATTGTACCCCCCACCCTGTTCCTCTCCAGCCTCGTTGCTACCATCTTTCCCTTGCTTATTTTCCTTCCAGCCACACTGGCCTCCTTGCTGTGCCTGTGGCCCTGGCCTGGTGCAGGACCCCTCTACATCCTCACCAGTCCACAGAGGCTCAGAAAGATATTTTAAGTTTCTTTAATAATACAGCCTAACTTAGCAGTCTGGAGTAAAATGCAACATTTAGGTCGTGTTATTTCATGGACAGTATCTTTTTTTGGTTCAGAAACAAACATTTCTCCCAGATTCATCTGGGCCATTTGGGATTTTCAGTGGGATTTTTTTTTTTTTTTTTGGCTTGATTTAGGTTCCCCCAAGGAATATTTGGAAACATTCATCTTTCCAGTTCTGCTTCCTGGAATGGCTAGCCTGCTTCACCAAGCAAAGAAAGAAAAATGTTTTGAGGTCAGTTGCTCTGTGGGGTTTCTTTATTTCTAAATGCTCAGTAATTCATTTTTATCAGATGGTACCTCATTATCTCAGTACCATCAAGTGGTCGTTCTCAAAACAATCCCTTTGGGAGGGAGAGCTGTGTTTTGGTCACTCAACTCCAGCCATGACATCTAGTTGTGCACACACATGCACTGCCATCTGTCTGGCCGCTTGGCTCCAGAGAGGTTTTCTGCCTTCTTGGCCTCCCTGCCTGCCCTTCTCCTGGGTAACTGGCATCTACCAGGTTTATTGGCTCCCGTTGACTGTGTGTGCGGATTAAAGCTCTCCTTATATTTTATCTGACTCTGGATTGATCTTCCCACCTCTGGCCTCTCCATACTCCACTTCCTGCTCAATATTATGCATGTAGCTTGCTTCAGGAGAGGTCTGGCCCACAGTGAGTGCTCGCTGAGCATTAGTCATGGTCACACTGCAGCCAGTTTTCTGTGTGAATGGAGTTCCAATCCTGGCGCACCCTCCCGTAAATACCCATGTGGAGGCTCCCTCTTTTCTACAGTTGACAGGATACTTTGGGGTGTGTGTGTTCCCTGCACAGTTTTAAGAATACTAGAATTTTGAATGGCCCACATGAAGAGAGTAAAATAGCAACAATATTTAATATTGGCCAAGAGCTTACTCTGTGCCAGGTGCTTTGCTGAATGCTTGACCATTCGTTATTTCATTCAGCCCTTCCAAAAGCCCTATGAGATTCCTTCTGTTAGTGTCCTCTGCATTTTACAGATGAGGAAACAGAAGAACAAAGAGATTTAGAAAGGTGATCAAGATGAATTTGCAGAGTTAGGATTCAGATCCAGGTTATGATTCAAAATGATACTTAAAAATTGGTGGTGCAATTTAACTACAGTGCAAACCTCAGTCAGCTGCCACATCCCAGGGTCTTTAGAGCATTCACAGCTAATTGTATCAACTGTTTGGTTGCCCCTCAGCACAGAGTCTCTCTGAGAAGAGGTGCATACTGCCCGGATGGTGCTTTTACATACATACCCATAGCCTAGATAATCCTAACTTCATCCCTCCCAAACAATGGAAGTTGGAAGCTGTCCTCTAAATAGCTCCAGGAAATACTGATTTTTTAAAATCCATATCTGTTTTTTGAAGAACAGTTTTGTTACTTGCCGTAGGTTATAAAATCTGAACTGTTTCCACTTATAAATTTTTCATTTGCTCATTTGGCTTCTCCTGAGGGCTTAACGTCCGTTCCCCATTCATAATTGACCTTCCCCTCCACTGTGTGGTGCTAACAGGTGCAAGGTGCAGCTGGGTGGGATGGTAGTGAGGCCAGGGGCCAGAGAACCGAGCCCCTAGCCTGACCCTGCTGATGTCAGGTGGCTTTGTCTCTCTGGCTTCAGGTCCTGCTGCTGAATGAGGGAGACCAGACTGTCCTGCAAGTCACATTTCAGGGATCTTTCTTTTTAATCTTGCTGTTGGCCAAAGTATATTCAGTGTGCTGTGCCTTTTATTAGATTGAACAAAGGATGGCACACAATGATTAAACAATGAAATGAGCACAGTGGAAATAACCTGTGTTTGAATATGCGTAAAGAATATCCGTAGACAGATTAAGTCACCCAAATTCATTTCTGTTCAACAAATATTTATTAAATCCTACTATGTGCTGATGACCGGGCCAGACCCTAGGGAGGGACACAGAGAGGACCAGCTATGGCCTTGTCCTCAAGAAAACCACAAACGAGCAGTAAAGCCTTTGGTAGCTGAAAGGTTTTTTTTTTCTCCCTTTGTATCTGTTCTCTGAAATAAGAATGGATGTGGGGAAACAACAAGAGTGGATCTAGGTGCTGTGAATGCACGTCTAGACCTGAACACAGCTACATTCAACTGTGCAGACTTTGTTCTAATTTCTTCAGCTGTTACTCTTCTAATTTATACCCTTTCACAAAACACAAAAATCAGCTAAAAGGGCAGTAATTAAGATTTTACATTGAGGGTTATATCTCTACTGTTTGCCCATAAATAATTTTGTAATGAGGGGGCTAGAAATGGTTTCCAGCCTCCAGGCAATGATAAAATGCTTTTAAAGAATCAGAGATATTTCTATTTGTATTAGAGATTAATGAGGCATCCTTGTGCCAACTCATATTTCATCTTTGACGTCCTGCAGATGAGCTGCCTCTGGGACTAAATGAAACCAGTCTAAACATAAAATGCTGCAGGGTGTTTGAATGGAGCATTAAAGTTTAAATGTTGTAATGAGCGATCAAGGAATGTAGAAAATGTAGGTTCTTAAAACTGTTAGCTTGCAAAAACTGATAAACTTTCAAGGCAGCCAGACACCCTGGAGTCCAAAATCCTGCTCAACTGCTTCCTTGTGGTGGGACCCTAAGTGATCTGTGAGCCTGTTTCCTCCCCTATTAAAGGGATGGCAGAAAAAAAAAGGAGGCGGGGGATAGCAGAGGTGCTTCTGTTACCAGGAGGATGAGGGGAAGCATTTAATGAGGTTCGCAGGCACCAAGGAAGGTTAGCGTCCTACCCAGCCCTCCCTCAGGCTTTGCCCCGAAGCTCAGTAATTTGAATACTACAAATATGCAAGATGGGTGGATTACCATTAACTTCTTTCATTTCCTGATTTAGGATTTCTTAATTAAATCTAATTCCCTCCTTTATCACCCCCTGGTCATGTAGTCTTTTGTGAGTTATTTTTGAAGGCTTGAAAATTACAGCAACATTTGTCAGACCCAAGTAGAGCTTCTCTTACCCAGATCTGCACAACAGATTTGCATTTTCTCAATTCAGCTGTTCCTCACATCCTGTCAGTGGGATAGATGCTTAAACTGAATGATAACCAACCTCCAGCCAAAATTACATAACTGGAGCATTCTTATCTGTCACCCACAACTGAACTCGCATCCGAATGACTCTTAAACAGCAGCATGATTCATTGTTTATTGGGGCCATTCAAATTATATCTTGAAACAGCATTTATATTAGGTCACTCAAGAAATAATTGCTGATTTGTATTTTGCCCTTAAAATGCTGACTTAGAGTTAGGTTTCCTTGCTTTCGTTATTTTCTGTTTTGTTCTATGAATGTAGCTCTAGTAGTGCCTGGGACGTGGTAGGGACCTACTAAATATTTGTTAGATGAATGAATACAGTTCCTCAAAAGTCAGGGCCAATTTTAAGATAGCAGTTATGGGAGCGCTTGTCAGTTTGCCCTAGCTATTACACGCAAGAGCTAATTTACTAACTGTACCTGCAGTGTCTCCATTTACTGCCTCTGGAGGAAGGTAGACTGTAGAGTGGCTTCCCCTAGAGCTAGAGCTGAGTAAGGAGCCTGTCCTCTAAAATTGAAGGGGCCTCCTAACAGATGGAGAGCCAGAGAGTTGAGCAAGAAGCTGGAATTGAAGAATAGCAGTTTCTAGCACTTTAGGGCTCTTACATTGTTCTAAACATTTGATCTGCAGAAACTCATTTCATCTTCCCAGCAACCCTCTGATGTGGGTGCTCTTATTTCAGTCTTACAGATGAGGACCCTGCAGTGCCAAGGTTAACCAACAAGCTCAAGGGAACAGCTAGTAAGTGGTAGAGCCAAGATTCAAGCCGAGCAGTACTCTGCTTCCTGAGTCTAGGAGTTTGACGCCAGACCATGCTGGTGGTCAGTCCAATGGCTTGCCACAAGCACAGGGCACATTCTGATATGAAAAATGGGTCTGGAAGCTGTGGAGAAAAGGAGTGAGAAGTGAGGCAGATCTGGGGCAGTCACCCAGACCACGCCCTCACACAGGCCTCGTGGGGCAGAATCTTTTATTTAGATTGTCCCACGAGTACCATGACACTCCAAGGAAAACTGGAGGGAATAAAGCAGAAGGGGGGCAGGGAGAATAATGAGTGGCACCTCATTGTTATGCCATAGAGCATTTGGCCAATTAGACACACACACACACACACACACACACACACGAATGAGGCAGTCTATGGTACATGGTCCAGTGGTTCAGAACTGAGCCTCCAGAATCAGGCAGACTTTGCTTCCAACCTGACTCTGCCCCAGACAAGCTGTGTAAGCTTGATGATTTTGATTTTGATTAATTCATAATTCAATTCCTTTATACATGTCATTTTAAATATTATGAATGGAACTCTGGTGAATTTCATAAAGACACTAAACAAATGGTTTGTTCATCATTAGATATTTTAATCTTTTAAATGCTCAGAATAAAATTCAGGTTATTTAACAAGCAGATATTTCTCTAGTCCTTAATTTTTGGAGGAGATTACAATTGGAAGACTAAACCTTAAAGGAATGATTCCCATGAATTATCTCAGCCTTAAGATTAAATGGAGACCCTGTGCATTTCCTGAGATGAATTTAACAAGTGAAATAGATTTATTTAATCCTTCCCCAGATAGTTGTTTTCAACTACGTATGAAAAGGTCACAGAGAGGGGTGCCTGGGTGGCTCAGTTGCTTAAGTGTCTGATTTTGACTTAGGTCATGATCTCAGGGTCCTGGGATTGAGCCCCGAGTCAGTCTCCCTGCTCAGCGGGGAGTCTACTTCTCCCTCTCCCCCGCCCCACTCGTGTGCGCACATGTGCGTGCTCTCTCTCTCTCTAAAATAAATAAATAAAATCTTTAAAAAAAAAAAGAAAGGTCACAGAGAGGTAGGTGGCATCTGTAGGGCACTAAAGTGACCATCTATAAAGAAAGTCAATGGGCCTTTTAGTTTTGCTGTGACATTAGCTGGGTGCTAGCGATATTTTATATTGTGTTAAACATACTCTGTGAAAGATAAAGAATGGGAAATGATTACTTTGTACAAATAGTTGATGGAATTACACCTGTGAATTGACAGTAGATACGGTACAGTCATTTCCTGTGTGTATACTGACATACGCGGTACACAGACCAAACCAAAGGTAAATGAATATAAATGATAGTATCTAAATCTATTAGCCAATAAGCGGAAAGTAACATGTAAGCTGGGGGAGAGATGAA